TTCACATCAAAATGAAAAAGAGGACCAGCACAAATATTTAGCAAACACTAAAACAACTGAAACGAAGTGATAACATGATTCACAAACAAAATGAGCTCAGCATAGAAAATTATAGAGAACAAAGTAATTGACATCACGAAAAAGCATGTAACAAAACGACAACAACAAATTACAATACCAAAAAGATGGAAACAACCTATGTGCCCATCAACAGAAGAATGGGTAACCAAACTATGATACATACACACAATGAAATACTATGCAACACTGAAGAAAAATGTAGAGTCAGCACAACACTGCAAAACATGGATGAACTTGGAGGACATTATGCTGAGTGAAAGTCAATCACAGAAGGACAAATATAGTATTAGTTCGTTGTTGGGTCAAGGAAAGGTTTATATATGGAAGGAAACTTTCTTTGTTGGTTGTCAGGGGAAGGGAGGGAACACTGCAAAAAAAAAATATATTGACCCATGTCACTTTAGTTTTGTGTATTTCACTGTACATAAATTATATTTCAATAAAATGCATTAAAGAAAGACAGAAACAAGGACCCCTGTTACATGCCTCCATGAATCTGGATCTGCGATAGGCCTTTTGGGGGTCACTTCTGCCTCTATGTAGAGAATGGGCAAAAGTTCTAGGAAAGCTCAATTTCCATGAGAGTGTCCCACTGCCTGCACCAACACACAACAGACACACACCCTATGGCCTTCCACTAGTCATGGCATCAATCACCAGACGTACAATTTGGAAAATCAAAAGTGGGGTCTGGATTCAAGTCCTGGATCTGTTTCTTATACTTCATGAGCCCTTAGACAACTTTGTTTTTTTAAATTAGGGGTCAGAGGGATGGAATGTTTCTTAATCTCTGTGATTCTTCAGTTTCTTCATCCCTAAAATTGGGATCATAATATTACCCAATGGTTATTGGAGGTTTCAATTAAGATTTAAATGACAGTAAAGTTTAGTAAGTGGCAAATATTACTATTAATAATTCTTCAGTTGCTGCTGTTGTTATATGCCATCGAGTCAGCCACGACTCATAGCAGCCCCTCCTTGGGTTTCCGAGGTGTTATCACTATGGAAGTAGATTGCCCAACTTTCCTTCCGAGGAGCGCCTGGTGGGTTTGAACCGCCAGCCTTCTGGTTAGCAGTCAAATGCCTTAGGCACTAGGCTACCAGAGCTCCTAATTCTGCAACAGTATAACCATTTTCTGAGATAGAAACAAAATCAAAGACTTTTAGGAGCTCCACTAAGAGATCCACCACTACCATGGCAGATTGGGAGTGAAGAAGGCATTATTCCTACCAACGTCTCAGTTAAACCCTGAGCAGTTAATGCAAATTCTCCTGTAGGCCCAATGGCATCTACTGAGGTGGTTTAGGAGTTGCCACATGGAAACAGCTCCAGGGACACCTTGAGCATACAGTGAATGAGGACCCTTGAGTTTGTGTGTATTAAGGCAAGAGACTTATGAAGCAAGGCCTATCATTATCAAATATTTATTTTTTTATCTAGCACAGTGGGGCAATCCAGTAAGATTGGTAGTTTATCTCCATTGACGCATGAGAACACCAAGTGTTGGAAACTGGGCTCAAACCCAGGCATCAGAGTCTAGAATCCGTATTCTTAAAGGCTGATTTTGACTCTCCCACCCAGAGCCCGGATTTGAGGGCTCCCTCAGTGCTCTCCTCAGTATTGCCTTCAAGACTAAGGCTATTTGGGAGCTCACTCCAACACACATCCAAAGGCTGGACTGTACCTGGGTACCCAGCCCCACCCCATGCCAAGGCTGCTAGGAGGAGCCAGCCCTCTGGAACCTCCTCAGCCCAGAGGTGGCTTCTGAACAGCTCAGCCCCTCCACACCTGGCTGGCCCACCTCTCCAGCCTCAGTGCACCACTCCCTTCCACTTCATGACTTGTCATCCTTCTTGTCTCAGGGAAGCCTCTCCTCCTCCTCCTGTTGGTCTCTATCCTTCAGAACCTTTTATAGTAGTCTTCCCCCACCCCCATCTGTTGTCTTTTCCTCTCTAATATAAGCTCCACAAAGCAGGAGCCATGTCCTTTTTCTGTTTTATCCCCAGCTTCTAGCACAGTGCAACATTGGGAAGATTCTTAAAACTTTATAAAAAAAAGTTTTTGCTTAGGATTTTGTATATTCTCTATTGAGTTTTCCATGTACTTTCACCTCTCCCTGGAATACCCCTTTCCTCCTCATTTTCCTCATTAACACATATTCATCGTTCAAAACCCAGCTCAGCTGCCTCCTCTAGGAACTCTTTCCTAAACTCTCAATAGGATCCCAGGCAAAGGCAAGTTTCGGTGTCCAGTCCCACAATAATGAGCCTCTACTTTTCAGGGCTCCCCCCGGGACCCTCTCCTGCCATAGAAGCTCTCTCAAGGTGCGGAGAAAGAGCAGTGTTCATGAGACAGCAAGAGGCTCCCAGCCTGGCAGCCTGTGAGGGGGAGGAGACCAGCTGGTGGGGAAGCCGGTTTATCAATGCTGCTGCCAAGAGCCCTGGGGAAATCAAGGTGAAAGGCAGCAGTCCCGCTGAGGAGGCGCCCCACCCCCTGTTTATCAATCAGAGGGACTGGGATAGGGCAGAAAGGGGCTTGGCTACCAGAGACAGCTGTGAAGAGGGAGACCCACACCCAGTGGCAGAGCCCAAAACCAAAAAACCAAACCCACTGCCACCGAGTCGATTTCGACTCATAGCAACCTTCTAGGACAAAAGTAGAACTGCCCCATAGGGTTTTGAAGGCTGTAAATATCAACAGCAGACTGCCTCATCTTGCTCCCGCAGAATGGCTGGTGGGTTCAAACCACCGACCTTTCAGTTAGCAGCTGAATGCTTTAACCACTATGCCACCAGAGCTCCTTGACAGGGCCCAAGTGGTCTCCAGATAAGGTCCACCTCCTGTCTCAGGCACTATGTTCTCACTGTGAAGCTGGGGCTGCCCACAACTCTTCCAGTATGTCCTCATTTTAAATACCTGAGTTTGGTTTTAGAAAATAGGATCCCTGGAGCTCTAAAGCTTGCTAATAGAAACCCTTTGCCCTGACCTTGTGTCAGTAACAGGCAATGGGAAGCAGGGTTCTCAGTGGACCTGGCCCGCAGACACACCTCTGCACTGGCCCCAGGAACCTCTTCCACCCTCTTCCAGGTCAGGGTAGCATCATTGACAGCGTGCTGGCCTGTTAGCCTGCAAGGTGCCCAGCCAGGCCTGAGTGGGGAGGTACTGCCGTCCAGGCCTTGGGAGCCTGACCTCTCTCAAGCCTTCAGACAGAACCAGGCCGGGAGGGTGGGGGAACAGGTAGATGACTGGGGCAGGGGACACAGGCAGGGAGCCCATGATGGACAGGGCTGCAGAGAGACTCTGCTGGAATACACCCAGAGGAGCCAGGTGGCTAAAGAGGCAAAATGGGGCAGAAACAAGTCCAGTGAAGAAGTCTGCCCCCAGCCTGTGCCCCCCACCCCAGCTGCCCCAGCAGAGCATCCCACCTGCTCCATCCAGTATCAAGGCCATCTGAGCAGAGTGATGTCAGAGAGAAAACCCCAAATCGGATTGTGGCTCCTACTCCCCCTTAATGAGGTTCATTATCAGCTGCTCTGATCCTTGCAAAGCCCAGGCTGGCAGGTGGATTGGGAGCAGCTCCCTAATCCTGCTGACTCCTCCCTGTTGAGCAGCCAACCCAGGCCCGGCTCGCAGACAAGCCCTTGCCTTCCCTGAGGAAGAGCTGGAGGTACAGGACAGGATGCCAGGCTGAGGGGCCCAGCAGCAGCAGAGGCACCTTGAGCAGAACTGGGGCACTGTGGCAGGTGCTCCCTGGGAGAGGAACAGAAGAAAGCAGGAGTGGGCATCACTGAGCCTTGTTCTGGTGCATCTGGGGCAGGGGACGAGCACCCTATCCAGGGGAAAGGTGGGCACCTTCTCCCCTGCAGTCCAAGTCTGGCTAGACTCCAGCGAGGCTAGACTCTGTACATTCTCTGTAGGCTGGATGTGAGGTCCCCCAGCAGCAAGTTAGAGAACACACTTATGTTTGCCTTAGTGAAAATAATTTATTCCCATGTCCCAGCAGTGAGGGAGAGCGGGAAACAAGCATGTTTACAGCATTACCTTCCCCTCAGACCCTTTTCAGCTCCACATATTGTGAGTATCCCAACACACCACCCTTCACATTCAAAAGTTAGCATCTGTTTTGGAAACCAAAGTAAAAAGAAGACTCAGCTCAAGAGGGGTAGAGCCCAATGGGAAGCCAAAGTACTTTCAAAGCAACCGTCTTTTCCTCGCACCTTCACTCTACCTCACAGTCAAGCTAGAGCTAAGGCACTATCAATGCCAACATCCTTCCCTATACCTCAGGTCTCTACCTCATCAGGTAGGGGCAAGCAAGCCACCCACCCCACTGGGGTGAGTGCATACCAACTCCCACCTATCTACCTGCAGCAGAGGTTTGAAGCTTCTAGACCCCATTTGAAGGCAAATCCCACAGAGGAGGTCTGAGGGGTGGAGGATGGGCAGGCCACGGAGGGCCAGGGGTGGACCTTCCTCCTTAGTGCACAGACCTCCTTGTGTCTAGAAGGAGGAGGGCAGATGAGTCCTGGAATGCCCACCCAGCCCAGGGGACTCTGCTCTGGACGGGAAACCTTGCAAACTGTGGCCCTACTCTCCCAAGATCAAATGGGAGACACTGGGACTTCAGTAAGAATGGGGCAGGACTGTAAATAAGCTGAAAAACAGGAATGGGGTATTGAAAGGCCAGACTGAGCCACCTGAACCCAGAGTCCAAGGCTGCCCTCCTCTCTGCTATCAGATGGTTCTGGACCCTATTCATGTCTATAAAACATTCTTCCCAGAAGGCCTAAGGAAGGTCACTGGAGCAACTGGCTTCCCTGGACTTCCCGAAGGAGGAGGAGGATAGGGGAGGGAGGTAGGGACTGGAATTGCCCCCATGGATGGCAGCTCCCTTTCCTGCCTCCCCCAGTTGTATGGTTCAGGCTGTGGGGTGGCTGGCACGGCCCTTCAGAGCCCTCATCCTGGCCCGGAAATATGTGTACACAGCCAGCAGGCCCATGAAGGACAGGGAGTAGAGCCCCACACAGAGGCTGATGTCCAGGTGGGAGAAGCCCCCTTCCAGCACCTGCAGCCACTGGCCTCGGCCCTGCATGGCTTTGGCCTCGGACTCCCCTTCAGGGATGCTGGCCAGCTGCTTGGAGCTTCTGCCCACTCGCCTCAATTCTAAACCATCCCTGAGGAGGTCCTTCTCAGCTGGGAACCTGGCCAGTAACATGGCCCCTGTGTCTCGCTTGCTCAAGTGTCGCTGCCCCTGGAGCTGTTCCAACTCACGTCCTGGAAGCTCTGCTGTGTGCTCAGGAGGTCCCTGGTCCAGCGCTGCATCGCTCACACCTAGGCCAGGGCTTGGTTCCTGGGGATGACCTGCCCCAGGTCTCTCAGCTGGAACATCTGGAATGGAGTTTCTGGGGGATGCTGTCTCTGGACCCATTATGACTGCAGCCTCCTCCAGGCTCAGAGTTGGGTTTCCGGTCACCAGCTCCGGTGTTCTAGTCACCAGCTCCAGGGCTCCTACATTCCGCTCCCTAATCTCCTGGAGGCCTGGCCCAGCTTGAGGAATGCCCAGGACGATGTTATGTGGGGAGAAGTGAGCCTTGAGGAAGCTGAGGGTGGCGCCCAGGTCCCACACTGGCTCACCCCGGAGCTCATTGTGGCAGGCAGAACAGAGTTCACGTGTTGGCCACTGCACCTTAGGGAAATAGGGGTCCTCACTGAGGGCACCTGGGGAGAGAAGCACACACAGCCTGCTGTGATACACAGGTTCCACGGGGAAGCCCAGACCTCATTCCTCCCTTCAGAATGCTAGCTTCCTCTTCTGCAGCGAGGGCTCCCTACTTTCAAGCAATATAGCTAAAGGACTAGCACAAGGCCTGGGCCACAGCAGGAGCTCAGCACATGGCGCCTTTTAGGATGAGGATTCCTATCCACCTCTCACCCCCAGCCTCAGCAGCCACATATCCCAGGGAAGTGTGGGACACTTTTCCACAGCTCCATTCCAGTCATTCTCCAGTGTTACCCATACCCCTGCTTCCCCTCGTTGAGTTCACTGCCAGTTTGTACTCCTGGATCAGACACGGGAAGGGGCGGGAAAACTCAGAATGATCTGTTTCTCAGTCCTTGGTTGGTCTGCGGGTGATGTTTTATTTTTTTTTCTCTTTAAAAAAATTTTTATGAACACTTCTAGTTTATAGAGTGAATACAGATTGCTTTTGTAATTAAAGGAAAAAATAAGTTTTAAAAAAATAAGAGTTGTTCCCCTATAGGGAGATAGCTGGGGGTGGGGGTGGGAGTACATGGGAGAGAAGGACACAGGGAAGAGGTAACTACAGGGAGGAAGTGGGAAGAGAGCTGTTACATTGTGGGGCATTGCAGTCAACATCAGGAAACAAAATGTCTATGAACCACTGTACGGAAAATGAATTTGCTCTATAAACTTTCACCCAAATCACAATAAAACAAAAATTAAAAAAAAAAAAGTTGCTGCCTTAGGTGATTCCACAGAAGTTCTCTGCAGCAAGCTCTTGGGGTCTGTAGGAGTTAGCACGATAATTTCTTCCCCAAGTGGGTTCCAGTGGGGTGGGTGTGGGGAGGCCAGGGGCTCGGATGGAAAAAGAGGGCTCTGGGGAGGGTCAGGGAGTTGCCTTGACTGACAGGCTGTCCTGGGCTCTTGTGTGTCCAGCCCCTAGTCTGAGTCACCCAGGGAATGTCAATCCACTCATCTCTCTTGCAGGAAGGCCCTCTCCTAAAAGTTTTAATAGGAAAATAGAAGCTGTTGACCACAATGAAGTAGCAGCAGCAAATTATGTAAAAGTCAAAAGGGCTACTTGAGGAGGGGCAACAAGTAGATTCCAGAGATTGGGTTCCAGTGAGTACAAAGTAAGCACTCCGTACAGACCAGCTAAATATTATTAGTTTGATCTGAAAGGGGAGGGTACTGTCTTCCTTTTGGCCCCTCAGGGAAAAGCCCCAGCTCCTGGCCCCTCCAATGGCAGGTGGGCCACTCAGCACTCCTGCAGCCAGGTCCTGAGGGAAGCCAGGAGCCTGCTGAGGTCATGGGGCTGGAGGGTTAAATGGAGCATTTTGTGGCAAGGGGTGGGGCAGGGGCAGGACAGGGGCAGGGTGGGAGGACAAGGCAGGCACGTGCCTTCTTTTCAAAATCCACCAGGAGGCCCCAGGAGACCAAGCCCAAGTGCAGTAGCTGCACCCACCACCTGCTCCATTCAGCTCCTTTAACCTCCGGCTCCACCCCTAGGCCTTATCCCACCACACCCCCAACCCTGGACGCCTGTTGGCAGCCTCAAGTATCCCTCCCTCCCCCACAGATTAGCCGAGTCCCCTGTCCACAGATGGCTCCCTCCCTACCCCACCCTGTCAGCCTCTGGTCATCCCTGGAGTCTGATACTCTTGCTTGTTGACCCATTAGGCCCCTGTGCTTAGGGAAGAGAAAACATTGTAAATAAGGGAAACTCAGAGATGACAAGGCCCCCTCTTATGCAATCAGACCCTAGTGTTTCCAGGAAGGACCTAGTCTCTCCTTTCCAGCCCATTCTATTAGAAGCTCCCTCCCAGGGAGTGGAAAAGTCCAGCTCTCCCCTCCTTGGTTTGAGTGTGGGGATAATAGCCAGGAAGCAGAGCAGGAAAGCCAGGCATCCTGAAACCCCAACAGGCCAGCAAGGGGTCCTGGTGTAGGGCAAACAGTAGCAATGGCATCAGAAAACCAGGGTCTTAAAGTATCAAAGCCTCAGTGTCCTCATCTAGAAAATGGGTTTAATGATACTGATCCAAAGGGCTGGCAGGGCATGCGAAAGGGCTCTGTGAGCTGTGAAGCAAGGGGTGCTACCTAGGGGACAATGAATGGCCCCTTTCCCTACCATAGCCCAGGACTCTGCAGTTCCCCCATCTTATCCTCCCTCTGCAGCCACTCCAGCCTTAGAGGTGGCCCTTCCTTACCTGCGAGGCGAGCATTGACCTTGTTGTGGCTAGCCCAGAGCCAGAGTACAGCGCCATCCAGACTGTCCACCCGGTGCATGGAGGCAGCGGCCATCTGCTCAAAGTGACTAGCACAGTCGCGACAGCCAAAGAAGTATCGAACATAGCTCCGGATAGCTTGGAGGACATCCTGGGGCCTGGCTACAGGTAGAGATGTCATTTGCAGGGGCTCCTCTGGCTGCCTGCCCCTGCTGGCCCTGCCACCATTCCCTCCACAGGCCATCTTGTTACCATCCCCACCAGGGCCACCCTCCACAGGCCACCGTCCATCCAGCCTGTCCAATGAAGGGCCCCAGCATCTCCATGCCTCCTTCTCCACCTCTTAGGGATCACTTTAGAGTTGAACCCATATCCTCTCAAACTCCTAAACCAGTTTCCCTTCTCTGTCATTCATCCAGATTTTTATCACTTATTTACATTCAGGATAAACTCCACACTCTTCAGCAGGGCACACAGACTCTTCATGATGTGGCTGGGGAGGTAGACAGGGGTCAGTGTGCCCACCCCTCCAGCCTCCCACCACTATCTGGCCCTATCTGCATTGGCCTTCCTACTCTCACCTCCCTTGAGCACTATGGCACTATCAGAAGTTCACCCTGACCCGGCTTTGTGCATCCCCTAGCTTGTGTCCACTTTACCTTGCCTCCCACCCCTGCCATTCCACTAGGCCCGATGGATTGGCCTCAGCAAAGGCTCTGAACACTCTAACTGAAATCGGGCTTCTTCTTGATGATACCACTACTCCCCCAAACACAGCCCTCTTAAACCCTTTTGTCTCCCACAACCCATGTACCTCATGGCTAGAGGTAGAGTAAGTGTCCTTCCTGCTGTTTCTTGCTTCCAAAATCTCTCCTTCCTGCTGTGGAAGCCCTAGCCCTTTAAAAGCTAACCTCATAGTCTTTTTATCCCTCACCTGCTACAACTTTCGTACTAGCTCTGTCCCACTTACCACACTCCCCATGCCATTGTTCCTGCCAACTCTAGCGTCCACACCCATCCATGCCTTGCCTCTCTGTTCTCTGGCCTCCTCAGCTCTAATCATCTTTTCCTATATCCACCTCTGTTGCCCTCTGTGACCACCCCCACCTCCTGACCTTCAGCTATATTACAACCCTCTCCTCACCTCCTCCAGGAGTTTATTCCTGTAAATATCACCTTTCTTTACTGCATCATCAGTTTCCCCCTTAATAAAGGATCACTCCAACTGGTAAAAACAATTACAACAAAGAAGGCCTTTCTCTGCCCCCGCAGCCCCTGTAGTTGTTGCTGGTTGCCATCAAGTTGCCTCTGACTCATGGCGACCTACGTAGGTCCTGGCCAATCTTCAGGATCACTGGTACGTGAGTCCACTGCTGTGACTTTTGTGTCAGCCCATCTCATTGAGGGTTCTCTTTGTTTTCACTGACTCTTTACTGAACATCATGGCCACTTCTAGCCCCGTTATCGCCTGTGTTTTCAGTCTAGTCTACTATTCCACTAAAGCAGCTCTTGCCAGAAACATACTCATCTTGAGCTATCTCTCAGCAGCATTAACTGGATGGACTATATGCTCTTCTCAAAACACTTTCTGTTGGGGCCCTCTTGCAAGCTCGTGACACCCCCTCCTCCAGCAGGTCTGGAGGCTGCAGTGCTTGGGCTCAGTCTTCAGGCCTCTCCTTCACCTACTCACTAGTGAGCCCATCCAGTCTGCGCCTTTCAACATCACCAATATGCTAATGACCACAAAATTCTGATCTTCATCCTGCACCTCTCCCCACAGCTCCAGACTCCAGTGTCTACATTTCCATTTGTCTAATAGTCATAATACCTATAACCCTCTCCACAACTGACTCCCAACCACCCTTAAGCCTTTCCATTTCTCAGCACATAGGACCATCATCCATCAGACGCTCAGGCCAAACATCTCTGAGGCCGACCCCAAGTTCTCATTCCCGCATACCCTCCATCCAATCCACCATTAAGTCTTATCTGCTCTACCTTCTCAGTATTCCAAAACCTGACCACTTCTGCTATCTGCACACTGACAACCTTCATCAACGCCGCCACCTTCTCTCCTGGCTATTTCCACAACTTCCTAACTAGTTGTCTGCCTCCATGTTGCCTCACTAGAGCTAGCCTCCACTCAGCAGCCAGCAAGCTTTTTAAAGCATGAATTGCTTGTGTCCCTCCCCTGCTTAAACACCCCAAGGGTTCTTGTTAGCTGAAACAAAATCCAAACCCCTTACCCAGCCCTCCAAGCCCACACGTGCTCACCTCCTCTCCCTGCCTCCCTCCACAGCCTCATCTCTCTTTCTGGCCTTCTTTCATGCTGTAAACACACCAGACGTGTTCTCTGCACCTGCTGGTCCTTGGCCTGGAAGGATTCCTAGGTTTTCTCATAGCTGCTTCCTTTTCATCATTCAGGTCTCAGCACAAGGTTACCTCCTCAGAGAAGCCTTCTTCAACCACCCTCTCTAAAAAAGTACACCCTCCTTCTGAGTTCCCTCTTCTACACCACTTTGCTTCACTTTCACAGCACTCATCGTTATCCCTGATGTGATCTATTTATGTGCTTATGTCTGTCTCTTGCCATTAGAAAATCTGCCCCTCGAGAGCAGGGACTCTGTGTCTTACGCATTGCTGTATCCCAGCACCTTGCATGGTGCCTGGGATTTTGGAGATGCTCAATACATAGTGGTTGATAGACTGACTGGCTCAGCTATCTACACACTTGGCAGGTCCTCTAATTCACTCTGCCTTTGCACAGGCTGCTCCCTCTGTCTTGGCCACTTGTCTTTCCTAGCAGAACTCCTATTTATCCACCGACCCTTGGGTTGCCTCCTCTGTGAAGCTCCCTGCCCCCTCCAAACAGAGTTAAGCATGCCTACTCCTCTGCCCATACATCTCTGCACTACCCCTCAGCTCTTGGCCCTGCCACTGCAGGAAAGCTTTCGGTCCACACCGCCTCACTCGAGACAGTCCATAGAGCAAGGCCTGCCTCTTTTTCACCTTTGTATCCTCCAAGCTGAGCCAGGGCCTGCTATACACCTGTTTTGTCGATAAATGTTCATTCAATCAAATGTCCATTCTTTTAGCCATTAAAAGTGAGACAGTGTGGGGTCCTACAGAGGAGCAGCATAGTTTGGGAAGGGAGCATGTGTTTACTTCCCCTAGAACATTTCTTCAGTGGGAAAAAGAAAAAATTAATCAAAGTACATGGTACCAGCTCTGTAAACTGTGAAAGGGACAGAGTTCTCTTTATGAGACTATGAAAATTATAATTGAATATTTTTCATTAAGACTAATAACAAAGCAAGCTATAAGCCCTGACAAAGCCAAAAAGGAGCCTCAGTGCCCTAGAGTTTGGAGAAACACCCTTTCTACCACCACCACAGAGGCAGGGGACAAGATGAGGTGAATTCTCCAGGTCCTCCCCATCCTGGACCAGTTTCGTGCTGGTAGTGTATGCCCAGCTGCATGAACAGACTTCCCACTGGAGCCACAAGACTGTCTGCCCTATTCACTGAATATTGACCTGCAGCAGGGAGCACCCTGATCCTCGTTGCCATGGAGGAACATGACAGGGCATGCTCTGAGGCACAGGGGGCGCGAACAGGCCCTGGACTTACCTGTTTCCCATGAGTGGTACAGATTTTGTCGAGTTGCCTGCACTGTCAGGAAGTGGAAGAGGATCCACAGAGAGCAGGGAAAGCCCCGGAAATGTGGCTCACTCCCTTGGCAGCCAACCCAGTTCACCTTCTTGGCAATAACAGCGCCCTATGGGACACACAAAAGAGCTCTCGTGGCACAGTGCCTAAGGCATTTGACTGCTAACCAGAAGGTTGGCAGTTCAAACCTACCAGCAACTCTGCGGAAGGAAGACTGGGCAATCTACTTCCAAAAAGATTTACTGCCTCGAAACCCAATTGGGGTCGCTATGAGTCGGAATTGACTCAAGGGCAGTTGAATTTGGTTTGGACAGGACACACATGAGTGTATATGAGCATGTACTTGAGAAGAAAATGGATGGGATGGGAGGTGAGAAGAGAAGCTTCCAGGAGATTCAAAGGTCAGCAGACAGCCCTAAGACAAATGAGGTTTCTTAAAGGTGGCATTTTCTTTCTACCAACTATACCCATCGAGGGAGCAACAGATCAGAAAACCTGGAACATCGATCAGATTAGATCCATAATCCAGCCTCAATGTCTCCATCTGTAAGATGAGGGGAGTTAATCTTTGAGTTTCTTTTAAGCTTTGACACCTGTAAGTCTATAAGATTTTGTGCCTCTGTCAGCTACAGAGGCTACCTCTGCAACAGTGGCAGGAGCAGAAGGGCCAGGGAAGCCATGAGGAGCAGAAGATGCCTGGAGGCAACAGGAACCAGAGGCAAAAACTCTGGGGTCTTCACTGGATCTCCACAGACCAAAGAATGAAGTTGGACCCATACCTCACACCATATGTGACAATTAACGAAAAATAGATCAATGCCCTAAATATATGAACTAAGATCATAAAACTCTTAGGAGAAAACTTTAAAACCTTGTTTTTGACAGTGAATTCTAAGATATGACACCAAAACATGAGCAACAAATAAAAGACAGATAAATTGGACTTCACCAAAATTAAAAACTTTGTGCATTGAAGGACTTTAACAAACAAGTAAAGAAACAACCTACAGAACTGGAGAAAATAACTGGGAACCATGTATCTACAAGGACATAATATCCAAAATATTTAAAGAACTCTTACAACTCAATAACAAAAAGACAAACAACCCAATTTAAAAATGGGCAAAGGTCTTGAATACAGGTATTCCCCAATTTATGACGGGGTTCTGTCCAAACAACTCCATCCTAAATGGGTTCTGATGTAGATGAAATACCTCAATATTTTAAAATGTTCATTATTATTGCCTTTCACTATCAGTATCTGTATAAATCTGGCAGTGTTCTGAATAGGAAATCACAATATTGAGCATCTGTGGGTGAATATCTGAGAATGATAACATCAGCAAATAACACACTGCAACATATTACTAAGAATAAGGTGTATAGAAAGGAAAAAAAAAAAGGATTGCTGTAATTGTGGTTCATTGTAACTCAAGTACGTCCTAAGTCAGGGGCTAAATGTAAACATTTCACCAAAGAAGAAACACGAATGGCCAATAAGCATAGGAAAACCTCCTCAATGTCATTAATCATTAGGGAAATGCAAGACAAAATCACAATGAGATATCACCTCATACTCACTAAGATAGTGTCAGCAAAAATGGAAACCAGTAACTATGGTGAGAAATTGGAACTCTTGTGCATTGCTGGTGGAAACGTGAAATGGTGAGGTTGCTGTGGAAACAGTTATATGGTTCCTCAAAAAATTAAATATACATTACCATAGGATTCAACAATTCCACTCCTTGGTATATATCTCAAGAGACTTGAAAGCAGGAACTCAAACACATACATGCACACCAGTGTTCACTGCAGCACTATTTACTTTAGCCAAAAGGTGGAAACAACCCAAGTGTCCATCAACAGATAAATGGACAAAGAAAATGTAGTACATACATACAATGGAGTATTATTCAGCCATAAAGAGAAATGAAATTTTGGTACATACTATAACATGGATGAACATTATGCTGAGTGAAATAAGTTAAATACAAAAGTACAAATATTGTATAATCCCACTTTTATGAAATATCTAGAATAGGCAAATAAAAATTTATCAGTGATCACCAGGGGCTGAGGGCAAGAGGGAATGGGAGTTATTGCTGAAGGGGTATTAAGTGTCTGTTCGGGTGATGTAAAACTTTTGGAAATGGATAACAGTGATAGTAGCACAACATGGTGAGTGTAATTAATGCCACTGGATTATACACTTAAAAATCATTAAAGTGGCAAATCTTTTGTTATATATATTTTACCACTATATATATGTGTATGTGGGAGCTCTGGTAGTGTAGTGCCTAGGGCACTTGACTGCTAACCAGAAGGCTGGCGGTTCAAACCCACCAGCCACTCTTCTGATGGGGCAATCTACTTCTGTAGTGATACTGCTTTGGAAACCCAAGGAGGGGTCACTATGAGTCAGATCCGACTCAACGGCACATAACAACAACAACAACAACAACATGTTTATGTGTATGTATGTGTGTGTGTGTATATATAGATATACACACACACACGTATATGTACGTACACATATATATATCTCCCCAGTGGCACAATGGTTAAGTGCATGGCTGCTAACTGAAAGAAAGGTCAGCAATGGGAACCCACAAGCAGATCCCCGGGAGAAAAGACCTGGTGATCTGTTCCCATGAAAGACTAGTAAACTCTATAGGGCGGTTCTACTCTGTCCTATAGAGCTGCTATGAGTCAGAATTGACTTACAAATACATGAAAAAACAAAACAAAAAGAAACACCTCTGAGGTCTCACATCAGTTGTAAAACCCAGCCCAACCACTTATTGGCTATATGATCTCAGATAAAAATCACCTCTCTTAATGTCTTAACCTCAGTTTGTTCACCTGCTAAATGAAGATAACAGTATCTACCTACCTCTAATGTTATGAGAATTAACTGAGACGATGAATATAGAGAGCTTAGCACAGTGCCTGTATATAGTGGGACCTAACAAATAGTACAGTTTATTAATTATAAACGGAAGAACCCAGCCAAGATCACTCACTGGCTCATCCCTGAATGGACACTGGCAAAGGAGGTAACGGATTACAGTCTTAACCCTTTCCATTCCCAGAAATACTGAGGATGGGGAGAGGATCCAGACTCACCTCCTTCCTGTTATCCAGGGCCGCTTTGAAAGAACTGTAGGGAATTTTCTTTCTCTGCTGCCTCTTGAGCCAGTCACTGGTGGAGTACAGGAAGTTCTGGACTGAGGGCTGGCCAGGGAAGTACTATGGGGAAGAACAAGTAGAAGGTGGAAAATGAAAAACAATTCCCCCAACGTTCCACAGCCCTGGAGAAGGGAGAGCTATACAGTGCTGGGCCAGGGCCATTTTTTGGAATGTTCCTAAGCTACCAGGAAAACATTCTACCTGAGGCACAAATGTGAATTCCTTACTGCCTTTGCTCTGGGGTATCTTAAGGTGGGGGTACAGGGGTGTGAGAGAAGACAAGCTCTAAGTAGGGCCAGGCCTTGAAGGGCCCTCTCCCAGCTTCAGGGTCCTGTGGTGAACCCTGACCCATGCCACCCTGTGAGGGTGCCATCTTCCAGGGGCTGCTGGGAAACTGTCCTCTCTCCAGGTGGCTTTCAAATGAAGCAGCTGACTTGCTGACTAACTGATGAACTGGGCTAGGCCAGCAAAAGGCCTTTCATTTGTATTCCATGGGCAGCCAGTGGGGACAAGCCAGTCCAGGGGCTTATAGCCAAGATCTAAATCTTGATGGTAACTCCCAATAGTCTCCAAGGAACATGAAAAGCTACTTTGACAATAAGTCAACTCAAATCTGATTAGTATCAGCACTTTAAAACCACAAGGACTCCAGGGAAGAGGCTCTATTTATGTGTACACGTGTGCACACACACACTTGGGGTGGCTGGCTGCAGCACAGAGGGAAGCAGCAGATAGCAGGTCAGATAAACCCACAAAGAGGCCAAGAGGGAAGTGGAGAGGGCACAGGCACTGAGGGACTTGGGGAGGAAAAAGAGTAAAGAAAAACAATGGAGAGTAGAAGGGCATTGGAAACAGAAATAACTAAATAGAAAAACCTATTACCAGAGCCAGGGCTCGGAGAAAGCCATGAAATATCCTTATCAAACCTCAGGGGCTGGACACCTTCCCCTAGAGTGAGGAGTGGCCGGCAAGAATCTTGAGTTTTGACACACTGCCTCTTGGTTAGCTCAAACAGGCCTCTGGGGCTCACAAATTTACAGCTTAAAGTCAGCACTTCTCATTGACCTTCACCTGTCATCCTGACTTGGAACCTTGAGCTTTCTAGGGTCAGGGTGACAAGAGGAGGATGAATTAAGGGGCTCTGGCCTACACCAAGTCCTCTCAGGCCAGAACAGGAAACCCTGGTGACTGCATGCCACCCAGTGGCCAGTCTCTGCCCAGCCACTTACTGGAGGGAACAGATGGAGCAGGAAGATACTTTACTCAGGCAGGCAGGGGTGCGAGGGCACCCATAAGACTTCAAGTGTGCCTCCCGCCTGGTCATACTCAGAGCTGATATTTCTCAGAGGCTGAGCAGTGCAGGGTGGGCACTATCCACCCCCAGACTTTCAGTGCCTCTGAGCACTGTTCACGTGATGGTTAAGAGCATGGGTTAGGTTAGCTAGCGGTGGATGTAGATCCCAGTTCAGCCACTGACTGGCTAGAGGGCCTTGGACAAGGTGCTTTACCTCTCTGGGTCTTTGTTTCCTCACCTACAAAACAGAGATAATACCAGTACCCACCTTATGGAGTTAAGAGAAGTAAAAACAAGCTAATACACAAAGAACGTTTTGCAGAGTCTGGCAAGAAACGGAGCTGCAGAACTCACGAAACAAAGCTGCTACTCTTGCTACGATTTAGGGAAAATCTACCTAAGCAAGGGCCGGGCCAGAATACTCTGCAGTTTCCAACACAATGTGTGGGCAGAACTCAAAGAGAGAGTCTCAGATTCGTGCCATCAGGCCCCTCTGCACCTGCTGTTATACATCCCTGGCATCCTTCCGGCCTCTGTGAAGGCCCTTCCTTCATCTCAAATTTCTGTCCAGCATTTGCTGAGGGCAGGGGATGGTATGTTTCCCTCATTCTTTTCCCTGAAACTGGCTCCAAACAGTCCCACCAAAATAGAGAAATCAGCTTTGAGTACAACTGAGAGATGAAGTGGCACACAAGAAACAATTTCTTCGGGATGATTCCTCCAGAATGGACTGGACTGAGGAGCAATGAGATGACCTCATCCCCTCCTGAGGGGCACCTGAAAAGCTCACTTTGGGGTTCTCTCTCAGCACACAGGCCACGCAAGGCCTTTTTTCCCTCTGATTCTCTGGGACTCAGCTCTAGGCCTCACTGAACTGGGGACCAAGCAGCCTGCAGGGCCTCTGAGGAAAGGTCTCTAGTGCCCGGATGGGCTGGAGAACAGTGGCTCATTTGGCCTGGGGCCTTTGTGAGGTGTCCAAGGCTGCCCTCCCTTAGACTGTAGCAGAGCTCTGCGATGAGCACTCACTACCTCATAGGGTCTTCTCAGTTTAATCAGACGTGTATGTGACCAAGCCAAGTGGACAAGGAAGACCAGGACTGGTGAGGTGGGGGGAGGGATTAGTGTGGCTAGAAGTTCCCAAAGGGATAGGCACAAATCACGCCAGGGGTAGTCCCAGTTTCCCGCAGACCTGCAGAGAGGACAGGCTCAGATCAGGCCCCCAGGCTGAGAGCTGCCAAGTCAGCAGACAGACTCTGAGGGGACCAGAGCCCACATCTGACTCAGCAGCACTCAGCAGCCGTTCCTTGGGTTTTAAGTAGGGCAGTATTGGCAGCGGATCTGCAACCAGAGAGAAGGATGTAGGGAAGGTGGGAGGAAGGGAGGTGCAGAGCGAAGAGGCAGCCCTCATCTCACCTTCAGAGAAAAAGAACACAGGCTCTGGAGCCCAAATACTGACCAGAATATCTCAGAACCGGGAGGCCTAAGGCAAGCCACTTGACCTCCCTCCCCGGGCCTCTTAAAATGGAGATGGAGTAATACCAGCCACCTTGCAGAGAAGTTAAGAGTTATGAAATGCTTGACACACACCAGGTTCTCAATAAGCAGTTGGTATGTTTCATGTAGTAGCCATCTTGCCAGGAAATTACACAGGAATAAGGAAGGAATGGGTAGGACAAGGGACCCACATCAGACTGTGAGCCAGTGTCTGAGAGGAAAGAAAGGAGTTTCAGAAGAAAGCCACCTGGCACTCCTTGCTCTCCTTCACTATGGCCTCCCATGTGCTCTGCTGTCCCAATGACCATGCAGGGAGTGAGAGGCCACATTCTGGGGCTCAGGCTGAGGGGTAAGACTGGGGCAGGCAGAGGCACACACAGTCTCTGAACCAGCTGGCATTAGCCCCAGGTGTCAGGGCATCTGTTCTCGTGTGGGAGGCCCTGGTGTGGGGTATGGCTAAGGCTGGAGGGTAGCAGCCCACAGTGGACTGGGCAAGTTGTGGCTCCAGATATTTGGCCAGACCACGAGCCCCTGGAGGGAGGGGCCGGGTTGACTCTTTCCATGCTAGTATGGTGCCTGGCTTGATGGATGCACACTGATCATATGTGGAATTGTGCAGACAAGGGAAGCCACAGCCCTGCTCACCTTGGCTAGCACTGCCACAAATTTTTTCAGGGCCGCCAGACGCTGCCCCTCCAGGACTGAGAACTTGCCCACTTCTACCCGTAGGATGTAGTGTAGTGCGGATTCCAAGTCGGCCATGTAGATCTTGGAGCTGAAGACCCAGAAGGAGGCAGAGAAAGAAAAAGGCATTAAGCACAGGGCAGGAGCTGGGGGAGGAGCACCTGGCATAAAGGGAGGGAAGAAGAAAAGGGGCACTGCTGATGGTTACAGAGTCCCATAAGTTAGTACTTGGCTCAGCCAGTGGCGAGCTGTGTGACCGTGGGTAAATTACTCAAAGTCTCTGGGAGGATTCAATTCCTCACCTGTAAGATGGGGATAATAATAAATTCCTCCCAGGAGGGTTGCTATGAGGATTACATGAAAATGCAGATGTAAATCCCTCAGCATCTGCTGGGACAGAGCAGGGGTTCCCTTCTCCAGGTCCAGGGCTAACCCCTCCTATCACTCACTGAAGTGTTTTTTTTTTTTTTTTGGTTAGTGGAAGGTTGAAAACTCTCTGTACTGAGCAAAGTAAATCCCCCAGGAATGGACAAACAGAACGACAGGCATGCATAGACACACATCTGGGGTCTCTCTGAAAGACCAAAGGTTTGGCTGTCCATCAGGGCTGAGGGCCAGGAGGACAAGCGGTGTTTGAATGTATCTCATGGCCAACGTGCTCACAGCTGCCAAGCCTTGGAGCTCAGGCCCAGCTCCACCTCAGTCCTTTGGGACTGACCTCAGGTCTGGAGGAAGGGTTGTCAGCTCAGGATGGCTGCCCTACCTCATGCCCTTCATGCTCACTTGGGTCCGGGCTCAGAGCTCTGATGGGAAGAACCCCTGCAATGGTGGCTATCTCCCTACCTGAGATCTGGGATCTGGCCTCAGTTCTATAAGCTAGCTCTGTGAGCCTGGGCAACTCAATTCACCTCTCTGGGCTTCATTTATTTTATCTGTAAGAAAAACTAATGACTGTGCTCCTACCTCCTAGGTTTGTAGACAGCCAACTAACTTGGTGACTCCCCATGCTTTACCCTTGTGGCAAAGTCCCCTCTTTGTCCTCACTCTGCTGTCCTTGGGCTTTGGTTTACCTCATCAGTCTTGAGTTTTACCTCAAGAAATGACCCCATGACTGAATGAGATATTGCATGGAAGGTGCCCACCACAGAGCTTGGCACATGAGGTCTGTAAGGATCAGCCAATATGGTCAGTGCCACCTCTTGGTCTCTCTTTACTTCTCCTATGATTGACTAAAAATCACTCTATTAGCACTTACCACCCTTAAAGTCCCTCGTACAAGGATGCAAAATTCTTCTTGAAATCAGATGACCTTTCTCCCAACTCTCTTGTGCATCCCCCTCAGAAGCACCTTGGCCAGTCATTTCCATTTGGTGTGCAGTTGGGAGCTAGAGCAGGAGGCCTACAGATTGACTATAGCTAGAATGTCTACCTCAAGAGCAAAAGCCAAAGAGCCTCAGAGAAAAGAACAGCTTTCTCATGCCTACAGTTGTGCACAAAGATACGGGCCACCTCAAAAAAGTAGTGAGCTCCCTGACACCAGAGGCATTCTAGAAAGGTTAAATACCTTTCTAGAAGGGATGCCGGGAGCTCTGGTAGCGTAGTGCTTAAGGCATTTGACTGCTAACCAAAAGGCTGGTGGTTCAAACCCACCAGCCACTCCTCGGAAGGAAGATGGGGCAATCTACTTCCGTAGTGATACTGCCTCTGAAACCCACAGAGGGGTCGCTATGAGTCAGGTCCAACTCGATGGCACATAACAACAACACAAAAAACAAGAAGGGATGCCATGAAGGAGACTTTAAGCTCTGTGTTAGCCGGGATTGCATCTGGTCTGTATATATCTGTATCCACAGTGCCTAGCATATAGCAAGTACTCAAAAGTATTTGACAAAGAAATAAACGTTTGGATATGGAGCTGGCTTGGAGACCTCAGAGCAGCCTTCCAAACTGATTCTACTTGCTTTTGAAGAGAGTCAAACTTAAGCAATATGAATACCAGAAAGTATTCACTCCACCATGGAGGGTGAAATGCAATGCATGGGCACTCCCTGTAGTCAGCACTGGAGCCCTACTGCAGACACTGGAGAGGCCTGCCTGTCAACTGCTCCTCTTCCCACACCTCTAAGACTCTCCTATGCATGGAAGCATCAAAGGTGCCCAAAGGCCAAGGTCAGCCCTCAGTGGGAGTGAGGAGGAAGTCTGGACCCAGGATGGCATGTGCTAAACTCATGACAAGTAACACACATGGGCAAGAGAATGTGTGTGTTGCAGGGGGATAATCTGTGATCAGAGGAAAGGTAGGGGGGTAGGGAGAGGCAGGGACAGGGAGAACCAGTCAGGGCCTTACTGATCTGCAAATTTCCAAACAGTGGGAACAATCTTGTTAGCTGTAGTTGGCGCAACTGTGGTCTGGGATGCCTCTCTGGTGACCCCAGAAAGCCTCTGCAGGTAACTGGTATAGAAGGACCTGGATTCCACAAGCCTGTGAGGAAAAAGAACCACAGAGAAGAGGTGATAAGTATGGACAAAAAAATTGCCAGAACCAACTAACGTCAGAAGAGGAAGCAGAGTGGCCCAATAGACGATACGTTTATTGATAAATCTGAACTTGGTTGTCTTGTCCTCGCTGAAACCAAACTTGGGATCCTGCGCCTCACTTCAACCTTTCTATCTACTGCATGTGCTGTGGAAAGCCTCTCTGACAGCAGCCTAATGTCAAAACCTGTGTAGTGAACTGATCTTCCCAGAGAGCTATGGTCTCTGCCCTCAGCTATCAGAAGGTGATCTCTAGTGCCCCCAGATGGAGGCTGTGGAGTTTGACTATCTTCCCATAGACCAGAAGTTTCCAAATGGTGGCTGACCTCATGGAAACCGCCCACCCACAAGCCTGCTCCAAGGTGCCACAAGGTGACATGACTCTCCAGGGAAGTCAAAGGAGTTTTGATATGTGATTTAAAATGTAGCAAAAGAACAACAACAACAACAACAAAAATCACCAAAATTCTCTAAATCATTTACAGTCCTTTTGATTTCTTTCTCTCTTCTGATAGAGAGGAGTGCTGGAGGGCAGGAAACATCTCCTGAGCACAAATTCTCCCTCCTACCCACTAGGGTCAGGGCCACCTGGAGGGAGAGATACAGCAACCAACAGGGTGTGATGAGATAGCCCAGGGGAGTTTGAATTGGGAAGCATTGCTTTCTGCTCCGATGTCCTGGCCCGATGTTTACAGATGAGCAGATGGCTCAGAAGTGGCATCGTCACAAACAATTTTCCCCTCCACCAACTCCAAGTGAGGAAACAATGTCTCATCTCCTCGTCAGGACTGGCCCTCTGTCCCCCGTGGCCATCATGCTTCCTTTCCCCAGCAGCCTCTCTGACAAGGCCAGCCCCAGTGCCATTTGATTGAGGCTGTGGCAGGTTGAGGGCAAGTGGCCGCTCTGCCCAGCCTCAGCGCAAGATGGCACTAATGGCCTTGAGGGGCAGCTCATTGGGCACCTCAGGCAAGCCTTTATCTCCCTGGCCCTCAAGCTCCTGCCTAGAGGGCCAGGCTGACATCAATCGTCTGCCCAGGGAGGGCACCAAGGCACCATCTGGCGCCATTTAACAGGCCATGCAACAGCGGGAGCCTGACAGAGCGGCTGAGACTGGCCTGATTGTTTTCACTTGGCATTTTGGAACTGGCTATTGTCTGGCTCCTAATGAACTTTTCTGCAATTAGAAAACCAAAGGGAGGGAGGGTCAGGCAAATTTGAGTCCATGCCAGGCCTGTAGCCTGCCAATGAGTCTGCCAGTGAACAGAGGAGGCTGTGGCGAGGGTGGTGCAGTGACAGTGGGGGTGGGCACCAACACTGGGTATGCCAGGGGGCTGCGGCAGTACTCCCTGGCTGCAGTGGCACTGTCCCCCACCACCAGACAGGCAGACCTGTGCTCCTCTGCAGAGGGTGCTCTTACCAGCCCATGAGCTCCTCAGAAGAGTCATTGTAGGAGAAAGGTCTTACCAGCCCAGTTCTCATCTTGGCTGCCCCTCTGGGCAGAAAGAAAGAACAAGCACAGAGAAGGAGCAGAGATGGGGCAGACGACATTGCACTCACACAGGGACCCGAGTGACAGAGCCATTCCGAAATAGCAGGTAGCAAGATGGGAAATTGGTGATGCCAAACTTGTTCACCACGTCTTCTTCTGTGTTCAGGACCCTGCGCACTGCCACACCTTGGTACTGGGACAGGTCCAGAGTCACCTGCAGAGAAAAGAGGACATCTAGGGGGAGGGCTCCAAGCCACTGGGCAGAGGAGCCTGGGGCTGCATGTCTCGAGTGCACTGGACACCCCTGTCCACTGGCAGCTGTGCTTTATCTTGACTCTAAACTTTTCAGAGTTTCGAGTAATGTGAGGAATGAGGGATTCTCATGCCCCCAACTGCACCCATCCCACAGTAACAACTGTCAAGCACCACCCAAAGGGAGAGGCCATGGGACCGTGGAGACCTCACATTTTGAATTTTCTAGGATAGCCCCAATTTAGTATAATTTTATCCTATCCAATAAAACCAATTTGTAAAAAAAAAAACCCAAACTCACTGCCATTGAGTTGATTCCAACTCACAATTACCCCCCATTGGGTTTCTGAGGTGGTAACTCTTTACAGAAGTAAATCACTCCTCTTTTCTTCCGTGGAGCAGCTGGTGGGTTTGAACTGCCAACCTTCTGGTTAGCAGTCAAATGCTTTAAGCACTACACACCAGAACTCCTTAATTTGTAAAAGGCATAAGAAAATGTGGCTTCAGTTTTATTCATATACAATTTTCTATCTATATTCAAAATCAGGAAAATATCCTTAGTTAGACATGATTATTTCATTTTTAAAAAATAAAAAGGGGAAAGACTAACATTTATTGAGTATGTATCACATGCTGTTTATAGATTATTTCATTTAATCTGGGCAATAACACTAACAGATAGGAACTAATATTAGGAGAGTAGCAGAGGGAGCACGGTATATTATGCTCTGGAGCTAGGCTGCCTGGGTTTGAATCCTGGCTCCATCTAGACTAAACCTCTCCCTGACTCAATTTCCTTACTTGCAAAATTAAGATAATAATAGGACCAACCTCATAGGACAGTTAAAAGAATTAAATGGCTTAATTTTATAAAAATCCTTGTAATGATGACTAGCACATAGTAGTTGAACAAGTATTTATTTTTAAAATTCCCATTTTAAAAATGAAGAAATTGAGGCAAGAAGAGAAACAAAGTATCCATACCACACAGCTAGCAAGTGCCTGAACTGAGCTATAAATTCCAATTCAGTCTGGCTCCAAGGTCTACTCTTCACTACTATGTTCTCCTGCCTTTCAAACTACCCATCTCTGAGCACCTTGAACGGGCCCTTGACTCAGTCCACAGAGGACTGTGAGAGAGGAGAGGAAGAAGAGCTGATTCCAACCCACACCCACCAATCACCTCTTATGTGAAGGCAGGACTCTAGGCATGTAATGGGATTCCAGAAGGCCAGGCACTCCTTCAGCAAAGCTCCCTGCCTCCCTGTGCTGCCCCTCTTTGGGCTGAGAGATCTGGAATCAGCAGCCAAGCTTCTGCTTTCAGCTCAGAGCTCTCAACTGTGCTTGATGAGTTTGAGCAGGAAAATCATTCAGAGCCAACAGTGGTATTTAATTGCATCCCCACCCTCATGTGTCCTCTTTTTCCCTTTACTGTCTTGGATCATCTCCCAAGCACCGGCTCATCTATCACTGCATCTGGGAAAAGTTCATCCATGGTCTGCAGAGAAGTTCATGACCTGGTAGTACAATGGAGAGCTCTCTGCATCAGGTAAGGGGAGTGGATCTTGATAAAGCACCTACTATGTGCCAGCTAAGGAGCCCTGGTGGCTCAGTGGTTAGGGGCTCAGCTACTAACTGAAAGATTGGTGGTTCGAACCCACAAGCCACTCTGTGGGAGAAAGATGAGGCAGTCTGCTTCCAGAAAGATCACAGTCTTGGAAGCCCTTTGGGACAGTTTTACTATAGGGTCACTATGAGTCAGAACTGACTTGATGGCAATGGGTTTGGTATGTGCCAGTTACTAATCCAGGTCCTTTATTAAAATTGACCCATTTGACTTCCAAAAAAATACTACAAAGCAATGTAATTAACCCTACTCCATAGACAGGGAAATGGGCTCAGAAAAGTTAAGCAACTTGCCCAAGGACATATCATGTATGTGATGGAGTAGAAACTCAACCCTGCCGGTTCCTGTTACCTGCCACCTATTAAGGGACCCCATTTCTTCATGTGAGGGACTGAATGATCTCTAATATCCCTTCCTCCTTTTTCTTTACTCCGGTTTTATGGGGGAGGGGAGGGAGCTGTGTAGAAACAACACAGGGTTTGGAGCCAGACAGACCTGATTCAAAGCCCTGATCCACCAATTTACTAGCTGTGTGATCCCGGATGTGTTATTTGATCATCCTCATTAATTGTGAGGATTCACAACTACGTACGTCAGCAATCTAATGCTATGTCCAGTAAACATCAAGTGTGATCATATTTGGTTTTAATGAGATGAACAAAAGCAGACATAAATGTTTTAAGATGGAATGGTCTAGCTCCTACACTTCCCGTTTCTCCCAGAAGGGGTCAGGACAGCACAGGGCTACGGTACGCACATTGACGGGACCCTAGCATTGGCAAGAAAAGCCCTGCTCCAGAACTGGGGCTCTCTCCCAAGGTATCCAGAGTTGTAGGGAAACTGAGGGTGGCTCACCTCTCTACCCAGATAGGAACCTTCCTTTTCAAAGATCAAGGCCAGGTACTCTTCATTGTTTCCTGCAAAGAATCCATTAATTTCCTCCAGCCTGCAAGAGATAATTGGTGGTCACTCTTCACAGCCAGTGGGAATAAGGATATAACTACTAACCATGCCAGATGTGGGTGACAAGGTACTGCACATACAGCCATACAGACCTCCTCTATTTCTACACAAGGCTATGTGGAAATCTCCCACTGCTAGCCCTCCATAGTCCCATAGTCTCAAAGGATGTTGTCTTTGTTACCTAACACTGGTTCTCATTTGTTCCACCCTGATTTTTTTGTTTTTCTTTTTTCACTGCCTTTTTTTAAAGTCAGAGTGAGTATAAGGCAGTCTGACAGGAGGAATGGGTAAGGCCCAGGTCTACTGAATATGGTTGTTACTGGTTCCCTGGGACAGTAGATTAAAATCATCAGATACAAGTTTTGATCTGTGGTAAATAAACAGCAATTGGGAGATTTGCTACCCTGGGGTAGACATTAAAAAAAACGAATTAAAGAATCTGAAGTCCTGGGTGTGGAAGACCTTAGGAGCTATCTACGTCAACCTCCCCATTTTAAGGGAGGACAAAGAAGCCCTGCACAAAGGTGGAAACAGATAATACAAAGACAAATTTGATGATCTCCTCAAATAAACTAGAAATTTTTTTTTTTTAAAGTTTCAACCGAATATAAATGCATAATACAAAAATGATGTTTCCTTATTCTAATTAAAAGCAGAATATCATAACACATGCTTAAGAGGCCAGCAGGTGAAAATTCAGATGGCAAAAGGGAGGGTGCATCTTCTTTTCATTCCCAGAGGGCACGTCACCCAATCTGGAGACCTACTGTCCTCTGCTGGGCCCACTGATGAGGCATGGACTACCTGCAAACAGAAGGTGCAACCTGGGCAATGCTGGAGCCCAATACAGTGACAGTGGACATGCTAGACAGGTGGGGGCCAGAGTCTACCCCGGGTGCATGAGAAGAGTTGTCGTGGCTACTGACAGCCTCTGGGGTGGCATCAGATGGCATCTCAGAACACATCACCAGGCCTTTCTTAGTCTGACAGAAAAGCAAGTCTTATATGGTAGCTGGCCCCCCCATCTATTCCCAACCTCAAACTTCTGGAGGAAGCAGCTCACCTTTCTTCACACACATCTCTGCCTCCTTCTTAGAGCTCTTTAGAGGGATCGCTTTGAGAGAGGTTGGCAAGTTTGCCTGATTATTGTTTTTGAGATCTTTTAAGAATGAAAATGCACCACAAGGGATGTATAAATGTTTGTGTAAGAAAGAGTCAGAGACAAGGACAGAATGGCACAGTCATTGAGAACAGGAAGAAGTAAGGACCAGACATGGATATTCTGGAGAGGTGGAATCCCAAACCACATCAAGACCATGTACTGGGTCCAGGGTTTCTGTGAAGTCCTCTGGGAGGATGGAGAATTGGGAAAGATGACAAAGGAGTCTTGTAAGTTGTATTCAGCCCAAACTGACACTTGGAAACACAATTTCTTAGCAAGCCTATGACTTTGAAAAGTCACCAATACATAGACTTGATCCTTCAAGCACATGCCTTAAAGAGGCTTTTTCAGCACCTGGGAACTTTATCATGTTCTGAGGCTGGGCTTCCTCTAGCAGTCCCCGCTAGTATTTGGATTTGGTCCTGCTTTGCAAGAGTCTCCTATGGTGGGCATTATCCTATCTTGAGTTTTCATCCAGAAGAGAAAGATGTAGTATTTTCAATATACTTGTCTCCATCTCTTTGGGACAGTCAGGGTAAGACACCTATGCACCTCATTATCCTCATTTTCCTAGAAAAGAGGCAATCCTTGAAGCCTTCCCAGCAGGTAGGTAGGTAGAGGACACCAGCCAATGAGCCTGACACTTCCAAGCACAGGCAGCTGAGGGCCACCTCCCACCTCCCAGTCACAGCACCTGCTCATTTTAGAGGCAGAGCTTTACTCAAATTTTGAGTTTCTCCTCCCCTTGCCCACCACCACCACCACTCACTTTTTCTCTAAACAGTATTTAACCTCCATTTTCCTTCCCCATAACATTCTTAAGGACAAGCTGTGATGGGAAGGGGCGGCAGGTACCATCTGGAGAACCCAACCCTACTTTCTCTCCCAGTGAGGTGGGCTCTGAATCTGTCAAACAGAGCCCCTTAATTGGGAGTTCTAACAATAGGAGGCCCTCTACCAGTCACCAGCTGCTCCAGCATGACTGTGTGCTCTGGCAGACTGGGGTATCTGCTCCAACAGTAAAGGTAGCAGGAAGAACCAACCTGGGTCCTCCACTCTGCCATTCCCACCACCTCCTCACTCTGAGGCCTATGAATGGCCCTCACTGCACCAAGTCTGTCCCAGTTCAAAATACCTGGCAGGTTCCAGTGGTGGACAGGCTGGGGGCCACGTGTCATGATGGGTCTCCAGAGCATCAATAAGCCTCTCCCGCAGGGTCTGCACATCTGCTCCAGCCACTGTAAACAGAAATGGACATGGGGACAGGATCGGGAGGAAAGGAGAATTCATTCCGGTGCCTTTGTCAGCCTCACTCACAGAAACTATGGGCCTAGGGCATGAGCTATTTCTGACAGGAAAAGCATATGGTAGCTTCTTCTGTAGAGAATGAGGGGAGAGGGCTACTCCTGCAGTCCTAAGCAGTACAAGGAGACCTGTCCCTCAGAGGGCACGAAAGAGCCCTTCAGAACTGGGACTCGTGTGGGCTTCCCCCAGGAGCTATCTGGTCTGCCCCTCTGTATGCCAACTTCATTTGGGCATGAAAGGTTACTCTGGTAACACAGCACCTCACCTTCACCCCAGGACCCTGGATAGGCTAAAGTGAGGAGCTTCTTCAGGCTAGCTTTCCCTAGGGCATCTTCTAGGCTGACTGAGAAGGACACCTTCCTTTCATCAAATTAGGTTTTCACTTGGGGAACCCTCTAGCCTTGTAGACCTTGCCAATTGTCAGGCCTTTCCACCCCAACAGAAACCCAGGTAAGGAGGGAGGCAGGGAGAGGAAGACAACGACAATGCCAACAGGACAACCAGAGCCAGGACACCCACCTGACAATGGTGTTCCCGAGCCATTCTTGGAAAAGGCCTTAAAGAACTGGAAGTAAACACACAGGTAAGAATCAGTATCACATGGTGGTTAAGAGCACAACACTGTGTCACACAGATGTGAGTTTAAGACTCAGCTACTCACTAAGGTGTAGGACCTTGGACAAATTACTTAACTTTGTGAGCCTCAGTTCCTTTATCTGTAACATGAAGGACAAGGAAGCTTTTGCTCTTGGAGCAGGACACTGGCTCCTGTTCCTCTTTCCACTGTGAGCTGATTCTGACTTATAGCAACTCTACAGGACAGAGTAGAACAGCTCTATAGGGTTTCCAAGGCTATAAATCTTTATGGAACTAGACCATCTTATCTTTCCCCCTTGGAGCGGCTGGCAGTCTTGAACTACCGGCCTATTGGTTAGAAGCCAAATGCTTTAACCACTATGCCACCAGGACTCCATATACTCTACCAAAGGTAGACTATTTCTATAAAGTACTGGAACTGTTTCATAGGGTTTCTAAGGCTGTAAATATTTATGGAAGTAGACTGCCACATCTTTTTCCTGCAAAGTGGCTGGTAAGTTTGAACTGCTGACCTTTTGGTTAGCAGCAATGCACTTTCACCACTGTGCCACCAGAGCTTCTTAAATTACCAGTACCTAGTACATAATTAGGAGCTCTGGTAGCATAGTGCCTAAGGCACTTGACTGCTAACCAGAAGGCTGGCGGTTCGAACCCACCAGCCACTCCTTGGAAGGAAGGTTGGGCAATCCTACTTCCATAGTGATACTGCCTCGGCAACCCAAGGAGGGCTCGCTGTGAGTCAGGACTGACTCGATGGCAAATAACAAAAACAACAACAGTACATGGTTAGGAGCTCTGGTAGCGCGTAGTGCCTAAGGCATTTGACTGCTAACCAGAAGGCTGGAATTTCAAACCCACCAGCCATTCCTCAGAAGGAAGACTGGGCAATCCACTTCCACAGAGACAGCACCTTGGAAACCCAAGGAGGGGTCGGTATGAGTCGGATAAAATATTACATGAACAATGAAGAACCATGGCTGTTTTCCTTGCAGACCCACCTGAAAAAATAAAGTGAAGTCAGCTCATACATACATCCCTGGGAAAACGTCAGATGCCCTCTGTGGAAATCTGTCCTTGTTCCTTATCTTGGGAAAAAAAAGGGCTTTGAGGACGATGTATCCACCCACTCAGAACTCCCAGCCTGAGGCCTGGCACAGCAGACACTCAACAGAGGGAGGGATCTCCAGCACAGGTTCTACTGAAGGGTTGGCCTGAGCCCCTAAAGAAAGAAGTTATGTTTCAAACAGCCCAATTTAACTCATTGTCTTGTCCTCTTTTCCCATTTATATGACACTTGGCCTAGCCCCTCCCTTGCCCTCTGAGGGCAGAGAGAACAGAGGACAACCCCTTATGATCCAAGCTTCTGCTCAAATAGTGATAGGGCCAAGGCTCAGGATGGGACAGAGTTGAGTTGTCTTAACAGAAAGGAAGATAACACTTAACTGCCTGGGAAAGAGCTTGCAGGCTGGGATAGGGCCTTTTCCTGTGGGTCCCCAATCTTGGGGCCAATCTCTACGGAGCCTCTACCTCCAACAGCATGGCCATTTGGTTATCCCAGCTGATGGTTATGAGTGCAGGGGGTCATAACCACGCAGTCTGGCAGATCTGGGTTCAAGGCCTGGTTCTGTTATATTCTTGCTGTGTAACCCTAGGCAATCCACAACCCTCTCTGAACCCTAGTTTCCTCATCCTTAAGATGAGGGTGGCCCCATCTACTTTAAAAATTTCTGTGAGGATTTAATGACAATGTATCTAAAGTGTATAGCACATGTCTGGGCATACAGTAAGTGATCAAGAAACATTAGCTGCAGCAGCAGCAGCATCCCCTCTCTTTCCTTGTTCCCATCTGTTAAACACTAGGAAACTTTGATCACCTGGGACTCAGTCTGTTTACAGCCATTTAAGCCAGACACTAAACTCTGGGGGCCATCTCTCCCACATGAGGAGTAAAGACTGCACATAAACCACTCATCTCCCCCCACCGGCAGCCTCTTCCTGCTCCCTCTGACCACGCCTATCCCCTTACTCTGCTCACTGCTTCATTCTCTCTCTCCTTGTTAAACTTTTATTTTAGGTGAAAACTACTTATTTATACATATCACACATATTTATAATAGTGTTTGGCTTACTGAATAAATCTTTCATTGATAAAATTTTATTATCTTAATACTTGTAAAAATAATCACAGATCTCCTGGATTGTGACATGAGCTCAGGTTGACTAATTATATTATGACATTTGTGACTCATATCGTTTCTAAGAACCAATCAAAAATGCAGCTAATTGGAGTTTGGGCTGTTCACAAATAATAAACCAGAGGGTGATTGTTACAGATACAGTCATTCACAGTGATGTTGCACTTGTTTACGTACAGCTAGGAGAAACTTCAACTTGTTTCCATGGGTGCGTGCACACATGTACACACATATACACACATACACCAAAAAAACTGCTGACATCATCAGGCCTTAACTGGCATGGCTATCCTATAGCTACAGCTGTTATTTTAATTCAGAAGAAAAGTCATTGAAAAGGAAAACAGTAACTCTTCTCTGTCAAACATCAGGTCACCCAAAGCGGCCTGTATTAAAAAGGGCTGGCATTATCTCTATCAAAAGGCAGGTGAGCCTTTTCAAGGTCCCAGCCATGGGCAGCCTGCAGTGGGACCAGTCCCAGGGGAATACAGGGACTCCAAGAAACCCGCCCACAAGGTGCAGGGCTGAAGAGGAGGCCTCCCACCCCCACCTCCATTTTCCACCTCTGGTTGACCACTCAGTCTTCCCTTCTGTCCCCAGAAGCTTCGTTTCCACCTTCCAGAACAATTCCAGCATCTGAACTCTGGCCCTCATACCTCACGTGCTTTAGGAGCTTGTGCTACCAACTCATCTTTTTATCTTCCCTCTTTTCTATCAGCTCCTTCCCAGCTCTACAAACAGATTCAAATTCCTCTAACTTAAAAATGAGAGAGAGAAAACAGAGAGAGAGAGAGAGAGAGAACTAACATGGGAAGGAGGATGGAAAGCTATTGCGTTTTCCATTTCTGCACTGCCAAATATTTTATAAAACAGTACTCTGCTCTCACTTCCCTGATTTCCCTTCTCCCTTTATTCCCATGATCAGCTGGGTCTGACTCTCCCACTCAGTTAAATCTGCTCTAGGAAAGCTCAGCAGTGATCTTCTCTTTGGCCAATTCAGTGACCTCTTCCAAACCCTTCTTGATCTCTCTGTAGTATCTGATGTTATTACCATCTACTTTTTTACTCCATGGCTAAAGTTCACCATTTTTTGTGCCACATTTTCCTAACACTCTCCTTCTTTGCTTTCTTGGTTTGCCTGACACTGACCAATCCTTTCTGGCCACCTTCACAGCCTTCCCCTTGCCCTTACCTTCTCTCTTGCGCCCATTGTCCTTGGTATGTCCTGCCTAGACCATTCCCTTTCTTTCCTGACCCCAGCCACACCTTAGATCATCACACTCTTCTGCTGAAGAAGTACTTGAAAGCAAAGCACTCAATCTATACTTCTGAATGAATGAGTGAATGAATGAACAAAAAACCCCATTTCTCCCTTGCCAATTTCATCAACTTTGTTCAAATGATTTGGAATCTGAATACTCTGTCTCTGCTCCTCACCTGGCCTGGACTTCTGCTTCCTCCTGGAACCCTCCCCACAGGTATTGGGGCACATCCTACTCACACACCAACACCGCAGTCATTCTTTCCCCAACCTGTTTCTCCACTATTGTTTTATTTTTTCCTGTATCATCCAGTGAGCTGTCAACCTGCCGCTCAGACCAGAATCTCCCACTCCTACACCACCCCTCATCACCCAGTCAATTGACAAGTTCTGTAAATATGAACTTTGTGATACTCTTTACTTGTCTTCTTCCATCTGTTCTCTTGTCTAGACTAGGGCTTCATCCTGGAGTGCTGCCCCAGTCTCTACCTGTCCCCCTTCATGTGCTTACACATTTTAGTAGGATCCATGTTTTCATTTTGCAACTATCTTCCTTGCTGCCACTATTGCTAGTTTCCTAAGGCACCATTCTGTTCTTATCATGCTTCTCCTCCTCACATCTTTCCTGTGACTCTGTATTGTCTATGAATAGTGTCCAAAATCACTGTATTCAAGGACTTTTAGGACATGAACCAAACATACCTCCCACTGCCTATACTTCAGCTACAACGGACTTTATCTCACCTTTCCACCCACAAGTCCATCCCTGTGGCCAGGAGGGCAGGACTCTACCGTGTTCATCTCTGCAAGCCCCAGAGTGCCTCACACAGTGTCTAGCACACGGAGGCACTCAGTAGACTTCTGTTCAGCTGATCAGAGAATCCTGCCCTTTGATCATTTTGAAAGCTTATGAGCAAATCACATTCAGATCTAGCCAGGGCACATTTTTGTCCTCTTATTAAAGTGTATCCTTATTAAGTCAGCTATTGGAGGCGTGTGCCCTACCCAAGGGAAACCACCACAACTCCTTGGAAACAGGCAATTAACACTTCAGTAGTGAGTTTTCTTTTCTCCAAGTCAGCACCTCCTCCCTTTCTTTCCATCACTTCTCACAGGTAGCCTCTGCCTTCTCCAACATCGGGAGCCACTGGAACATTTCCACCATCTCCCCAAAGGCAAAAAAGCTGGTGACATTCGTCACATCTTTACCAATCCAAGGAGTGACTGCTTTCCTGGGGCCAAATAAAAATGAACAGGAAGGACACTTTCCAGTGGTGGGCATTGGTGGCACTGAATTCAAACTTTAAAAACAAATTTTAAGGAAAAGCAACAAGGTTTGCTGGTCTGATAGAGCCTTATGGAACCACTGAGACTATGGCCCCTAGCTGCCCTTCAGGTCTGGAACTGAACCCACTCCTGTGGCTTCCAGCCAAACAAAAGACAGGCATATGAGCTGAACATTTACATTAGGTAGATACACTCCTTGGAGAGAACAATCATGGGAGAATAGAAGGGCTGCTTACGCACAGGGAGACAGCTGAGGGGGCAGGAGTGCATGGATGGAAGGACACAGGTAAAAGGTAACTATGGGGAGGAAGTGGGAGGGGAGCTGTTGCATTGTGGGAAATTGCAATCAACGTTATGAGACAAAGTGCATGTGAGCTACTGTATGGAAAGTGAATTTGCTCTGTAAACTTTCACCCAAATCACAATAAATAAATAAATAAATAAAACAAGTTTTAAGGAAAATGATTCAGTCTCCAGACATGTTATGGTAAGTCCACCTATGGGTCCATTCTCCTACCTCTAGCCCATGAGGTCCACAACCCTAACCACTTCCGATGCTTGTGCACTATCTGTGGGGAAGACAGCTGGGAAGAGGGCCTAGCTCCTCTTTTCAGAGAGAGGCAAGAGACAGCTTTCTGAAGTCTTGTCCTCTCTGACATCTCCCCCTTAAGTATACCCACAGGAGGTAATGGCCCAGACTGTGCACCCCACAGGGTGTCCAGACTCCCAGCTTCGACTTCAAGGGCCTGCCATTGCTAGGCTTCATTCTTCTCCAGGTCTGCCTCAGCCCTGAACATTAGCCTCTGCTTCAACATATCGGTCTCAACACACCACACAGCTCTGCCCACAAGAGGCCTTGCTCTCACCTTCTCTCAATCCTGCAATGCCCTACCTATGCTTCTCTCTCCTGGGCAAATTTCATCTGTCCTTCAACAAAAAGTCCCTTTGCTTCATGGAATTCCCTCTGATGTATGAGGGAAAGAGCTCAGTGAGCCCAGGTCAACTCCTCCAGCATTCATTGTGTGTAGGTCACTCACTGCCTCTCGACTAGCTGAGCTCTGTGTGTCCTTGTGGACAGAAGCCATGAGTTAAGTTTTCTAGTCTCTCCCAAGTTGGGAGCACAGTGCTGTGTACGCAGCGGACACTCACTCAATAGCTGCTAATGCATGCCCTGCCAAAAGTGCAGCAGCCACAGGGGAGGTGACCCCGTGAGAAGGCAAGGGGAAGGAAGAAAACTAACATTTACAGAATCCCTACTAATAATACACAGTGTCTCCGCACTTTCACAAGAAAGACCTCATTCACCCTTGCAACAATCTTATTAGGCAGATATTATCATCCAATTTTTACAGACAAGGAAACTGAGGCCCATTGCTGGGGATGGTTAAGAGACTTCTTGAGTCTCATACTTTAAAGGGAGAAGCCAGAATTTGAACTCCTATCAATTATCTCCTCAAATCTTATGAAGGGAAGACTTGTGCCCTCCTCTCCTACTTCTCTGCTGCTTCTGCTTGGTGTAATCTTGACCCTGGCCAGGCCTTTGGCTACAAAAGGTCCCTCTCCATCACCCACTGAGAGGCAGCGCTGCTGTCAATGGAGAAACATGGGGAGACAGTGGTCAAGTCCCTTCCTCCAGCAGTTCCAGCCTCTGGGTCCTCAAAATCCGGCGAGAACCTGAATCTGTTTCAAACTAGTCCTTCCTTCCCCTGAACCTTTGTTTTTTTCCAGTTGGGCTCCAGCTTCAGTCTGATATGGACCTAACACAGCTGGGTCCGCCTTGCAGGGCCGGGTATTTGCTAAACAGGCTGGGCTGGTAGAAGCTCACTGTTTTCTCATGGTGACAAGGGGCAGGAGGCAGAGGAAATGGGCAGTGACACATGTCACTGGGGAAGCCAGACTCTTGTGTCAGTGTCCCATCACACTGACAACACTCTTTCCTCCTTCTGCTCAGCACACATTTCCCTGCAGACTCTCACAGCCTTTATGGGCGGAGAGGGCAAGGACAGGATCCAGTCCCCAGGAAGCATCAGGCACAACAACAGAGTTATCGCTCCGGCCTGCTAGCAGCCAGGCAGACATCTAGGGTCAACTCTGTTTTCCAGAATGTAGCCACAGTGCCCACAGACACACTGGACTCTCAGTGGGTCAGAATGCCTGGAGATCTGGAATGTCTGAATAGTGTTTGCCAAACACTGGAGCAATCTATTAGTAAGTTATAAAATCAATCTAGTGACTCACAGCCAACACTTAAAAAAAAAAAAAAAAAACAGAATTGAAAATATCAATCAGCATGTACTATATTTAGTATAGTACAAATACTGTTTATGAAACTTTTGTTTCAGAGTGTTATTAGATACACAACAATTTCTAGACTGCAATATAAACTGTGTTCTTAGTGTAGGTCATGGTAAATGATGTTTGAAAGCCACCACATTAGAGCCTTAGAGCACAGACCCACTAATAGGCTGAGCCACCGCCCCATGGCTGGAGTGCTGAGGCCAGGACACTGCGTGTCTTTCCCTGGCCCAAACTGAATGGCAGGTTCCTCAACAGAGGAAGGTTTTGCTGAGGGAGTGCATATGCAGATCTTATGAGTAGGGCAAATGACTACCAGACTGGCCCAGCCAGGTGCTGTCTGTCTGGAGGCAGAGGAAGGTCAGGAAGACCTGTGAAGGGCCCTCCCAGCTCCTGGATTCTGTGAGCCAATGCTGTCCCTCAGCCAGCTGGGTGGTTAAGGAGATGATTCATCACAAGGCATTCATGCTGCGTGTGCTGCGTGACTTGGACAGGTGCTGAGGAGCCTCTGGATATCCCAACTGCCTGGGCTGCCTCCTTCACACCCACGGGCCCCCAGCCTCTCCCAGGCAGAAACGGAAAGCCCCAGGTATGAGGTCACCCAGAGCCACAGCAGGATGGCCTGGCCTGGCCGTGGTACCGATGACATTCCCCTCCCAGGGGTTGGGCAGTGGCTTAGCACCGTGCTGGGTCCTCACAAGAAGAGTATCAGCCTGTGAACAGGGCTCCTGCTGCCGTACTGGTTTTTCCACAGCTTCCGACTCAGGGCTGCTTCAGCAGAAGCAACACAGTGTCCTGTAACTGAGTTATTTTCAGTCACATGTCTTGGGGCAGTGGGATGGGACAATGGAATTGCCAGGGAGATCTTCTACTTTAAAAAGATGAATGACAGGCAAGCTCTCTGCTGCCACCTCTAAGCAACAACAGCTTGACAGCTGCCACACTGCTCCTCAGGCCAGCCTGGTCTCAGCTAAACCTAGGGCCTGACCCTACACGGTAGTAACAGCCAAGGAGGAGTGCTCTACTGGGCTATGGAAATCTTGAGTCCAGCAGGGTTGCACTGGGCATGAGGAACAGAAAGGTCACATGGAATTTGAGCTGGACATTCTTGAAGAAGCCAGGGACCTTGCTTTCCAGATGAATTCTCCTGGGGTAATCAGGCTGAGTTGTGGCTCGTGTTTCTTCTGGAACTTGAGGCCCCTGAGCTCAGAGATATCCTGTTCCGGGGACAATACTTGGCATTTCAGCTTTCAGAGGCATTTCCTGATTAGTTTTACTGGCTGTAGAGGAAATGGCTATTCCTAGATACCATTCTGGTGGGAAAACGCAAAAATGCAACCACTGCCATAGAGTCAGATCCGACTCGTAGCAACCCCTCCTTGGGTTTCCGAGGCAGTATTACTATGGAAGTAGATTGCCCAACCTTCCTTCTGGAGAGTGGCTGGTGGGTTTTAACCACCAGCCTTCTGGTTAGCAGTCAAATGCCTTAGGCACTACGCCACCAGAGCTCCCTCTGGCAGGAAGGGGCTTACATATTTATCACTGGAGGTGAAGGTATTGCCTCTGTCCCTGCCATTCTCTCTACAGAGGTAGAAAAACCAGCCCTTGGGATTCTCTAATTTGGAAGAAAATTAACTGGACTACAGCCAGGACTGAGCCCTGGGGAGGGCCCAGGCTACAACTGCAGTAGCTTTGCTGCTCTGGGCTCTCTGAGACCTTCTATTTCAGAGCCTCGGAGGGTTGTTCAGTTATGCCCCAAGGTGAGCAGGCTGGCAGGCAAAAGACATCATCAGAGACGATGATGATGGTACTTTCCACCACAGCTGGGCTGACAGAGCCCTCATGCTTTGGGTGTGATGATGTCCATGCCAGGGATCCCTGCTGCCTGAGGCACTGGCATTTTGACTGTGGGGTAAGGCTACTCTGACAGATCATCTGACCTACTTGTGGCTCTAGGTTCCAGGCACTTATCTGATGAGGATGAGGCTTGCTGGTGTTTCTCGGGTCCCTTTCCGGGGGACTAGTAGGCCCCTTGAGTCTGGCCCTGTCCACAGATGGTCAGAGTCTGAGTCCTGGTCTTATAGGGTTAGACAAGACCTCTAAGACTAGGAGGTCAGGAAGGAGAGAACTTGGCAAGAGGCCTTGGAAACTGGGAGCTCTCACCAGCTCAGGGGATAATCACTTCACTGCTCAAATCAGAACAGCTGATATCACACATCCACACATACACAGTGTCTTTCCCTTCTAAAGGGCAGAATTTCCCAAACCGAATGAACTTTTCTTTTCTGTCTCCCAATTCACATCCCTTTCTGCCTCTAAATCAGGTGTTTCATCAAGCAGAAGAATCCAAGGGCTGTGATTTAAACCAGCCAGGGCCAGAAGCAGAGCTTGGCAGGCTGGGCAGATTCCAGGGACGCACAGGGCAGCTGGTAATCTGCTCTGCCAGAACTGTCCCCTGCCCCTGTTCCCCTCCCTGCCACACACCCGCACAGTTGGGAAGCCAAGGATGTTGAAGTCTCTGCAGACTGCATTGTTGGTCTCATCAGCACAGTCCAGGGCAGCGAGATTCAGCGCCGGCTTCCAGTCTGAAAGGACAAAGAAGCCTGGGATAAGCAAGAGGGACATGCATCTCCTCTGTCTGCTTCCCACCCCCATGGCTTCCCCACCTCACTCCCACCTGGCCCCCAGCACCTGACTCCAAAGCTCTTATGAAAAGAGTCACACCTTCTTCAGAAGAGGGCCCATGAGATATTCCAGTTACTCTGCATTTAGCCAGAGCCTCACAAGAAGGGGCCTGCCCTTAGGACAGAGTTAAATAGCTCAAGTCATGCTTTCTGTGTTCTGCCATTACTCTGCCACCAAACATAAACAGAACTCTTATGTTGTTCCCAACCAGGGCTCTAATATGCTCTGTCCCTCACTGGTCTACCTAGTCACTGGATGATCTTTTCCAACCTGTGGACTGGATCATGTCACTTTCTACTCAATACTTCTTTGGGGTATATGTGGAAGACAAGCAGCTGAAGAGAGAACTGAGATGTACCTGGCCATCCCAGCGAACACCCTAGGTACTGCCCCTATCCCTGCTGCCCTCTCAAGCTGATCAGTTCCAGAAGGGTGGAGAGCTACTTCAGGTGATTAGGAATTCCCCATGGGCCTTCAGGAACAGATCTGGGGGCCAGAGGTACTGAGAGTCAGCCCAGTTTGGGTACTGAGGACTGAGTCCCCAGCCAGAAATGTAGGCAGGAGGACTCAGGGTCCAGAAACTGTAGGAAAGAAGCCCAAGGCCGGAGTGGCTGCCTCTGGAAAGGGATTAAAGCTGCCCCTGGCCAGCTGCCTGGCCACCCCCACTCCTTCATCAGGTCCCAGGCTTTAAGTCCTCTGTCCATGGACACTTACTGGCAGAGAGAATAATACCACCATCTGGGCCCCAACCCAGGATCTGGCAAAGAGAAAACAAACTCATCTATGAGGCAGGTCTCTTGAGCTCTAATTCAAGGTCAGGTGCCCCATAAGCCCCGATCAAAATTCCACCCCTTCTGCGATGAAGCTGTTCCAGCTGGAAGGGAATATAAACACACATGAAGCCACACACACACAGTTAGATGGCAATGGATTGGTGCCCAAGTATATGGCAAAGGCCTCTGAAGGCATTTGGACATAGGAGAGACCCACCCTGTGGATTAAGGTATGGGTCTCCCAGGAAAGGAGGACTTTGAGTTGAGCCTTGACAGTCAGTAGAGTTGGCAGGAAACTGCACAAGCATAGGCAAGAAGGAGAGAACTGACAAGAGCGTGAGGAGCTGTGAAAGACACCAGGCTATTGGGAGGCAGGAAGGGGCCTGTGAGTGCTTGCATGGAGGGGTCTGGGCTTACCGCCCTAGCACTCTGGGGCCAATGGAGCCTCTGGGGTAGATAAGTGAAGTGGAGGAGGAAGCCTGCCTGGTGGCCATGCACAGCTCCCCACAGGACCCAAGGACAGAGGCCCATAGCCACATCCCTTCCATCTGGAGCACATGCCCCATGTGGGGAAGGGAGGAGGAATGACATTTGCACAGGCAGCACATCTAACTCCCAATAAGCACAGAATGCTAATATCTGAATAACATCCTTGAGAATCACAGTTTTGCCCAGGCCTGTCAGTCTACCCTAGAACCTGTTCCTATAATGTCTGAAAGGTAGCAGCGCTCCCATGGGAGAAATGTTACCCTCACTTCCATGAAAAAGATAAAGAGCCAGCAACACTTCCCAGACAACTGGCCCATCCCAAGAAGGAGAAGATCTAAAAGGCTCAGAACAACTAAGTTTATGCTCCCAGGAGCTGACACATGAGAGGGGGCTGGGGGTTGTGAGAAAGGCCTGAGACAAGACCCACTCATCCACTTCTCCTCTTCCCTACTCCTGCCCTCCCCTCCTCACTGACAGTCTGCTGGCACTGAAGCGTCTGGAATCCTGGCAGGAGGGAGGAGCTGTGGGTGTTTGGGTGTTGGGGGTAAGATGGGCAGTGTTTGAAGTGTTTAGCAGAGATAGATTCAAAAACATGGTTAGCAGAGACAGGTAAGCCACAGCCTATCACACCATTTCTCTCAACCTCCCACCTCACCCAACTCCTTTGGGAAGAGCACATGGATCTTGACTCCCCTGGCACATAGGGGCTGTAGCTTAAGTTTAGCCAAATATCTGCAAATCAGTTTGGTCCTCTGGCTTTCAATCTCACTTGCAGAGTAGCCTGCACAAATGGTGGGTGTTGGCCAGGGCTGCTACGTGCAGTGCCATGCTTAGGACAGCATCCTTCCTTCTCTTCCTGACATTCTCCTCTTACCACTCCCTCTCCACTCATTCACTGTTGATACCTTTTGTGAGAGGTGGAGCCAGGGAGTCTGCCCATCCCAACCAACTTCCAAAGTCTCCTCCTCCAAAGTCTTCCCACCACCACCCTCATGCCCATCTTCTCTCCTCTGTCCCAGGTTGGCTTGGACACAAGACCTGGATTCTATACTCATCTCATCTCTAACCTATCCTCCGCACCCAGAGAGCTTCTGCGGGGTTTCTTACCACAGGTCCTCTTCAGATAAACATAAAAATCTTATTTCCCTTCTGACCAAGGTTCTAACGTCCCTCACTTGTCTACTCAGCCACCAAATGATCTGTTCTACGTGTGCATCTGATTACGTCACTCTCTGTATTCTTTGGTGCCTCCCTTTGTCTTCATAAGAAAACTTACAACCACAAGGTTATTCTTGACCTGCCCATTCCCCAGCCTCTTTTATTACCACTTCCCCAATTATCCTCTAGGGATGCTGAAGGGTTTCTCCTTCCCTGAAAGCACAGGCTCTCTCTTGTCTCCATGTCACTTCCCATAAGAAACAACTTTTCCACAAGCCACCCTTATCCTCCCAATAAACTCCTATCTGTCAGGCACAATAGTTCGATCACTATTCCTCTCCCTACCAAGAGATGCCTTACAAGTCCAAGGCTCGGGGGCCCTGCTCCCACTGCTGTTACACAAGGCTGTCCGTCCTTACACGTCTTCTTCATTTTTGCATTCCTACTGTTTAGCATCCCCAACACCCAGCACACAGTAGGTGTTCAGTGAATGTTTACTGAATTTTGACCCAGCTTTGGGACCTTTCTCTCAGCAGCTCTAGTGCTGGAACATTTTCCCTTCTGCCCTCAGCCTGAGTCCAGGTGGGGGTGAGCTTAAGGCCAACACCCAAGAACACAGGCAAAAAGGCAAAGCAAGGCAGCAGGAGAGAAGAGCTCCTCAATGCCTTTGGACTTTCTTCTTTTATGATCAAGTTGCTTGGATGCTGGAAGGGCCAGAGGAGAGGGAGAGGGAGACAAGGGACTACCTGGTTAGGCACCTATAAAATGCAGCAGAGGTAGAGAGGAGGCTCCAGGAGGGAAGGTAAGAGCACCCTGAGACTTTTCTCTGTAGCCCTCTTCCTCAAGGGAGGGCTAGGGAAGGGTGGGAAGCACAGGTCAGCTCCTAGGGCCATTTGGCACACTTGGCTCTTTCTGTTCTGTACCTGGGGTTCAGTCATTCTCTGGGGAGACCCACAAGAAAGGCCCAGCTGAAAGAAGAGAGTACATGCGTCAGGTGCAGCCAGTACCAATGGTAGGCAAGGAGATGTCAAAGAAAATTGTATGGACAAGGTTAACAGGCCAGGATGACATTATTCAAGGCTACTGCAATAGAGGAAAGAGACCAAAATGAAATCTGAGCACAATGCCACTGAAACAAAGAGCAGCAGGGTATTTAAGAGTTGAGGTGGACTAGTGACACAGGAGGAGCTCTGGTAGCATAGTGCCTAAGGTACTTGACTGCTAACCAGAAGGCTGGAGGTTCAAACCCACCAGCCACTCCTCGGAAGGAAGGTTGGGTAATCTACTTCTGTAGTTATACCGCCTCGGAAACCCAAGGAGGGGTCACTATGAGTTGGCCCAACTCGACGGCACATAACAACAACAATAGTGACACAGGTTCGCTATGAGTTGGAATCAACTCGACAGCAGTGTGTAGTAAAGAGGAGTCCCTGGGTGATGCAAATGATTAAGCACTTGACTAGTGGCAGTTCAAACCCATCCAGAGGTGCCTCAGAAGACAGGCTTGACAATCTGCTTCTGAAAGGGCATGGCCTTGAAAACTCTACGGAGCAGCCCTACTCTGCACACACAGGGTCACCATGAGTCAGAATCCACTTGATGGCAACGAGTGAAAAAGAACTGGAGGATGTCTGGGGACTGACCACTGGGATGGGTAAGTGAGGTACTATTGAGTGTGCAATTACGGCCATTTGACTCAGAATGCTTTCTTTTTCTGTGATCAAGTAACCTAGATGCTGGAAGTGCCAGGGGAGAGGGCGATAAGGACTACCTGATTAGGCACTTGGATAACACAGGGCCAGAGGAAAAAAGGTCAGAGAGATAAGGCAGAAAGAAATTTTAGTCAAGTTGAGTATAGTATTAAAGCTGTTTCAGTCAGCCATTTTTAAAATAAACCCTGTGGGAAGTGGGGCAAGAACAGACAGCTCTCAGACCTGAGTGGATGACATTCAGGTATTATGTCTGTTTCACAAACATCTATGTGCAAGGCAGTGAGTCTTGAGTAGGTGCTGGCAAGGGTATAAAAACGAAGGCAAACCCGGTTCTGTCTTCAAGAAGTGTGTGGTCTCATGAGGCAGTAAGTCAATCACAGGTAAGAGCCACAGAAGAGAGGCAATTCTGGGGCCTCCTACCAGTGAATGCCCTCAGATAAGTCAGGTCTCACAATGCTGATCAGCAGGGTGACCCAAAGCATAGGCCACCATCCCTCAGACTCTCAATGACCACTATCCATTGGGGCATGAAGACTTTGAAGATGTAGGAAAAGGAAAGAAAAGCTAGCAGTCAATGAGTCCATATTGCATACCCACATTTTATCTTACTTGACCTACACTTTATAAATGCAGCCTTCAAGTTTGTCCAATGGCTACCTGATTCTAAAGCCCACCCTTTCCTCCACCTCATCAGGGTCAGGACGGTCTTTTTATATGTTCCTGCTTATCTCTAATCACAACTTTCTTCCTGAGGGACAGGATGGCAGA